GAGAATTTATTGGGAATTTTTGGGGATTTTTTTTCTGGATTTTGGGGAATTTTTGAGGGATTTTTTTGAGGAATTTTTTGAGACTTTTTTGAGACTTTTTTTTGGAATTTTTGGGGGATTTTTTTCTGGAATTTTGGAGGAATTTTTGAGGAATTTTTGGAGAATTTTTTTGGGATTTTTTGGGGATTTTTTTTTAATTTTTAGGGATTTTTGGGGGGGAATTTTTAGGGATTTTTTTCTGCTATTTTGGGGGGAATTTCGGAGGAATTTTTTGCAAATTTATTGAGAATTTATTGGGAATTTTGGGGGATTTTTTTCTGATATTTTGGGGGAATTTTTGAGGAATTTTTTGAGAATTCTTTGTGAATTTTTTGGGGAATTTTTTTTTAATTTTTAGGGGATTTTTGGGGGGAATTTTAGGGATTTTTTCTGCTATTTTGGGGAAATTTTCGAGGAATCTCTTGAGAATTTTTTCACAATTTTTTTAAATTTTTGGCTAATTTTTTTTCAATTTTTAGCCATTTTTTCTGGCATTTTTTTTATGATTTTTTTTTTAATTTTTTCCCTGTTTTTTTTAGGATTTTCCCCACATTTCCCCACCTTTTCCCATTCAGGCATATTTTCTATTTTTCCCCCCGGAATGTTCTGGAATTTTACCGCCACGTTGTAGATGGCCATGCCCACGGCCCGGTGGTCGTTGATTTTCTCCGTGGAGACGCTTTTGGTCTCGTAGCCAAAAAAATTCCCAAAAGCAGCAGCAGCCCCTTGAATCCATAGAAAATCCCTGGAAAAATAATCCAGAAAAATTAAAAAAAAAAAATTAATTAAAACTACGTTTAATTTTTATTTTTTTAATTAAAAAAAGGAATTCTTTAAAATTTGTCGTTGAAAATTTAATTTTAATTTTCATTTTTAATTTTAATTTTAATTTTCATTTTCATTTTTTTAATTTTAATTCTAATTTTAATTCTAATTTTAATTTTAATTTTAATTTAATTGTAATTGTAATTTTAATTCTAATTCTAATTTTAATTTTCATTTTCATTTTAATTTTTTAATTTTAATTTTAATTTTAATTTTTATTTAATTTTAATTCTAATTCTAATTCTAATTCTAATTTTAATTCTAATTTTTTAATTCTAATTCTATTTTATTTTTAATTTTAATTTTAATTTTTTAATTTTAATTTTAATTTTAATTCTAATTTTAATTCTAATTCTAATTTTAATTTTTATTTTTTAATTTTAATTTTAATTCTAATTTTAATTCTAATTTTAATTTTAATTTTAATTTTTAATTTTAATTTTAATTCTAATTTTAATTGTAATTTTAATTCTAATTCGAATTTTAATTTTAATTTTTTAATTCGAATTTTAATTTTTTAATTTTAATTTTAATTCTAATTTTAATTTTAATTCTAATTCTAATTCTAATTTTATTTTTAATTTTAATTTTTATTTTTTAATTTTAATTTTCATTTTAATTCTAATTCTAATTTTAATTTTAATTCTAATTCTAATTTTTAATTTTAATTTTTTAATTTTAATCCTAATTCTAATTCTAATTTTAATTTTAATTCTAATTTTAATTTTAATTTTTTAATTTTAATTCTAATTTTAAAATTTTAATTCTAATTTTTTAATTTTAATTTTAATTTTTTAATTTTCATTTTCATTTCCACCTGAACCCTCCCAAATTTGACCTGGACACCCCAAAATTCCACCTAAAAAACACCCCCAAAATTTCCATTGAAAATCTCCCAAATTTGCCCTAAAAATTCCCTAAATTTGCCCTAAAACCCCCAAAATGCCCAAAAATTCCCCAAAATTCCACCTAAAAATCCCCAAATTAATTGCCCTAAAATCCTCGGATTTGATAAAACCCCAAATCTGACCTGGACACCCCCAAAATTCAACCTAAAATCCCCCAAATTTCCACCTAAAATTCCCCCAAAATTCCACCTAAAAATCCCCCAAATTTGCCCAAAAATCCCCCAAAATTCAACCTAAAATGCCCCAAATTTGCCCCAAAATCCACCAAATTTTTGCCTAAAATCCTCCAAAATTCCACCTAAAAACCCCCAAATTTTACTGAAAATCCCCCAAAATTCAACCTCTAATTCCACCTAAAAAACCTCAAAATTTCCCTTAAAATGCCCCAAATTTGCCCCTAAAATTCCCAAATTTCCACCTAAAATCCCAAACTTGCCCAAAATCGCCCGAATTTGCCCCAAATTTGGGGGTTTTTTCCAGTACCAAGCCAGGTGGAGCTTGGACCCCCAAATTTGCCCCTAAAACCCTCAAAATTTGACGTAAAATCCCCAAATTTTCACCTAAAATCCCCAAATTTTCACCTAAAATCCCCAAATTTTCACCTAAATTCCCCAAATTTGCCCAAAATCCCCCGAATTTGCCCCAAATTTGGGTTTTTTCCAGTACCAAGCCAGGTGTTCATCTTGGTGGAGCTGCAGTGCTCGAGCTGGGGCAGGATGGACACGTCCATGTCCGACTTGGGCTCCTCCTTGGTGAATTCCTGGGGGAAAAACGCCCGGATTTGGGATTTTGGGGGGAATTTCGGGGATTTTGGGGAAATTTCAGGGATTTTGGGAGAAAATTGGGGATTTTGGGGGGAATTTTGGGGGGGAAATTGGGGGATTTTGGAGGAAGATTTGGGGGGAAAATTTGGGGAGAAAATTTGGGGATTTGGGGGGGAAAATTTGGGGATTTTGTGGGGGAAATTTGGCGATTTTGGGGGGAAAATTTGGGGGGAAATTTGGAGGGAAAATTTGGGGATTTTGGGGGGGATTTGGGGGGGATTTTGAGGGAAAATTTGGGGATTTTGGGGGAAGATTTGGGGGGAAAATTTGGGGATCTAGGGGGGAAAAATTGGGGATTTTGGGGCAAAATTTGGGGATTTCAGGGGAAGATTTGGGGGGAAATTTGGGGATTTTGGGGGGAAATATTTGGGGGGAATTTGGGGATTTTTGGGGTGAAATTTGGAGGAAAAATTTGGGGATTTTGGGGGAAAATTTGGGGATTTGGGGGGGATTTTGGGGGAAGATTTGGGGGGGAAATTTGGGGGGAAAATTGGGGATTTTGGGGGAAATTTGGAGGAAAATTTGGGGATTTTGGGGGGGATTTGGGGGAAAAAATTTGGGGATTTTGGGGGTAATTTTGGGGGAAATGTGGGATTTTGGGCAAAATTTGGGATTTCGGGGGAAATGTGGGGGGAAAATTTGGGGATTTTGGGGAGGATTTTGGGGGAAAATTTGGGGATTTTGGAGGAAATCTGGGGGAGTTCTGCAAAATTTTGGGGTTTTTTTGGGGTTGGTTTTGAGGTTTTTGGGGGGATTTGGGGGTTTTTTGGGGGTAGTATTTTGGGGGGAATTTGGGGTTTTTTGGGGGAGAAAATTTTGAGATTTTGGGGGAAATTTGGGGGGGAAATTTGGGGATTTTGGGGGGAAATATTTGCGGACTTTGAGGAAAAAATTTGGGGATTTTGGGGGAAATTTGGGGATTTTAGGGTTCTTTGGGGGGAGTTTTGAACTATGAGGAAAAATTTGGGGATTTTGGGGGAAATTTGGGGATTTTAGGGTTCTTTGGGGGGAGTTTTGGGGTGGGTTCGGGGGAATTTTGGGTTTTTTGGGGGTGGTTTTGAGGTTTTTTGGGGGAATTTTTTTTTGGGGGGGGGTTTGGGCTGGTTTGAGGTGATTTGGGGTGCAGAGAGTCAAAAGAAACCTTCCAGAAAACCCCCCAAACACCTCCAGAACTTCCCAGGAACCCTCAAAGCCCTGAAGAACCTTCCAGAACCCCCTCAAACACCTCAAGGAACCCGAAAAAAATCCCTGGAGAACCTTCCAGAAACCCCTCAAAACCTTCCAGAACATCTCAAGAACTTCCCAGGAAGCCCCAAACCCCCGGAGAACCTTCCAGAACCCCCCAGAGAACCTTCCAGAACCCCCAAATCACCTCAAGAACCTTCCAGAAACCCCTCAAACACCTCCGGAACATCTCAAGAACTTCCCAGGAACCCTCAAACCCTGAAGAACCTTCCAGAACTCCCCAAAAACACCTCAAGGACCCCTCAAACCCCCGAGAACCTTCCAGAAACCCCAAAAACACCTGGAGAACCTTCCAGAAACCCCTAAACACCTCAAGAACCTTCCAGAACCCACTCAAACATCTCACTCAAGGACCCCTCAAACCCCGGAGAACCTTCCAGAACCCCCAAAAACACCTCAAGAACCTTCCAGAATCCCCCAGAAGCCCCTGGAGAACCTTCCAGAACCCCCAAAAACACCTCAAGGACCCCCCCCAAACACCTGGAGAAGCTTCCAGAACCCCCTCAAAACCTTCCAGAACCCCCTCAAACACCTCAAAGAAACCCCAAAAACCCCTGGAGAACCTTCCAGAAACCCCTCAAACACCTCAAGGACCCCTCAAACATCTGAAGAACCTTCCAGAAACCCCAAAAACACCTGGAGAACCTTCCAGAACCGCCCTCAAACACCACCAGAACATCTCAAGAACTTCCCAGGAACCCTCAAACCCCCGGAGAACCTTCCAGAACCTCCCCCAGACCCCCGGAGAAGCTTCCAGAACCCCCTCAAACCCCTGGAGAACCTTCCAGAACACCCCAAAACACCTCAAGGAACCCTCAACACATCTGGAGAACCTTCCAGAACCCCAGAGAACCTTCCAGAACCCCAAAAATCACCTCAAGAACCTTCCAGAACCTCCCCAAACCCTGGAGAACCTTCCAGAACCCCTCAAACACCTCAAGAAACCCCAAAAACACCCTGGAGAACCTTCCAGAAAGCCCTCAAACACCTCAAGGACCCCTCAAACATCTGAAGAACCTTCCAGAACCCCAAAAACACCTGGAGAACCTTCCAGAACCGCCCTCAAACACCACCAGAACATCTCAAGAACTTCCCAGGAACCCTCAAACCCCGGAGAACCTTCCAGAACCTCCCCAAACCCCCGGAGAACCTTCCAGAAACCCCCTCAACATTTCAAGGAACCATCAAACATCTGGAGAACCTTCCAGAACCCCCAGAGAACCTTTCAGAACCTCCCCAAACCCCAGAGAACCTTCCAGAACCTCCCCAAACACCTCAAGGAACCCAAAAAACACCTGGAGAACCTTCCAGAACCCCCTAAACACCTCAAGAACCTTCCAGAACCTCCCCAAACCCCCGGAGAAGCTTCCAGAACCCCCTCAAACCCTCAAGAACCTTCAGAACCCCCAAAAACACCTCAAGGGACCCCCCAAAAAACACCTGGAGAACCTTCCAGAACCCCCCAAACACCTCCAGAACATCTCAAGAACTTCCCAGGAACCTCCAAACACCTCAAGGAACCCCCAAACCCCCAGAGAACCTTCCAGAAACCCCAAAACACCTGGAGAACCTTCCAGAACCCCTCAAAACTTCCAGAACCCCCTCAAACACCTCAAGAAACCCAAAAACCCCCTGGAGAAGCTGCCAGAACCTCCCCAGACCCCCCGGAGAAGCTTCCAGAAACCCCAAAAACACCTGGAGAACCTTCCAGAAACCCCTAAAAAACCCCCAGAAGAACCTTCCAGAACCTCCCCAAACACCTCAAGGATGCCTCGAACCCCCGAGAAACCTTCCAGAACCCCCAAAAACACCTCCAGAACATCTCAAGAACTTCCCAGGAACCCCCAGACCCCCAGAGAACCTTCCAGAAGCCCCCCCCGTACCTCGATGGTGCGGTGCAGGGGGTCCACGATCTGCCACACGCTCAGGGTGACGACGTCGAAGGCCACCAGGCCCCCAACGGTGGCGTAGAGCTTCCAGGGCTCCAGGCTCTGCTGGGGAATGGCGGGGTCAGAAAATGGGAATGGGGGGAAACCAAACTGGGAATGGTGGGGTCACAAACTGGGAATTCCAGGAAACCAAACTGGGAATGGTGGGGTCACAAACTGGGAATGGGGGGGGAACAAACTGGGAATGGCGGGGTCACAAACTGGGAATGGCGGGGTCAGGAACTGGGAATTCCAGGGGTCACAAACTGGGAATTCCAGGGGTCACAAACTGGGAATGGCGGGGTCAGAAAATGGGAATTCCAGGGGTCAGAAACTGGGAATGGGGGGGAACCAAACTGGGAATGGTGGGGGTCACAAACTGGGAATGGTGGGGTCAGAAACTGGGAATGGTGGGGTCACCAAACTGGGAATGGGGGGGTCACAAACTGGGAATGGTGGGGGGAACCAAACTGGGAATGGGGGGGACCAAACTGGGAATTCCAGGGATCAGAAACTGGGAATGGGGGGGGATCCAAACTGGGAATGGTGGGGGTCAGAAAATGGGAATGGGGGGGTCACAAACTGGGAATGGCGGGGTCAGAAACTGGGAATGGTGGGGGAACCAAACTGGGAATGGCGGGGTCAGAAAATGGGAATGGTGGGGTCAGAAACTGGAATTCCAGGGGTCAGAAACTGGGAATGGCGGGGTCAGAAACTGGAAATTCCAGGGTCACAAACTGGGAATTCCAGGTCAGAAACTGGGAATTCCAGGGGTCACAAACTGGGAATGGCGGGGTCAGGAACTGGGAATGGGGGAGGAACCAAACTGGGAATTTCCACCGTTGGTGACCGGGAATTGTAGGGTCAGAAACTGGAATGGTGGGGTCAGAAACTGGGAATGGGGGGAACCAAACTGGGAATTCCAGGGTGACAAACTGGGAATTTTCACCATGGGTGACCAGGAATTCTGGGGTCACAAACTGGGAATTCCAGGGGTCACCAACCAGGAATTTTGGGGTCAGAAACTGGGAATTGTGGGAAACCAAACTGGGAATGGCGGGGTCACAAACTGGGAATGGTGGGGTCAGAAACTGGGAATGATGGGGGAACCAAACTGGGAATGGGGGGGAACCAAACTGGGAATTTCCACTGTTGGTGACCAGGAATTCTGGGGTCACCAAAATGGGAATTCTGGGGTCGCAAACTGGGAATGGCGGGGTCAGAAACTGGGAATTTCCACTGTTGGTGACCAGGAATTGTAGGGGTCACAAACTGGGAATGGTGGGGTCAGAAAACTGGGAATGGTGGGGTCACAAACTGGGAATGGGGGGAAACCAAACTGGGAATGGTGGGGAACCAAACTGGGAATGGCAGGGTCACAAACTGGGAATGGGGGGGTCAGAAACCTGGGAATTCCAGGGGTCACAAACTGGGAATTCCAGGGGTCACAAACTGGGAATTTCCACTGTTGGTGACCGGGAATGGTGGGGTCACAAACTGGGAATGGTGGGGGAACCAAACTGGGAATGGGGGGGGAACCAAACTGGGAATGGCGGGGGAACCAAACTGGGAATGGTGGAGTCAGAAACTGGGAATGGGGGGAAACCAAACTGGGAATTCTGGGGTCACGAACTGGGAATTTCCACCATTGGTGACCAGGAATTTTGGGTCAACAAACTGGGAATTTTGGGGTCACAAACTGGGAATGGTGGGGGAACCAAACTGGAAATTCTGGGGTCACAAACTGGGAATTTCCACCATTGGTGACCAGGAATTTTGGGGTCACAAACTGGGAATGGTGGGGTCAGAAATTGGGAATTCCAGGGGTCACAAACTGGGAATTTCCACCGTTGGTGACCGGGAATTTTGGGGTCACAAACTGGGAATGGTGGGGGAACCAAACTGGGAATGGGGGGGGAACCAAACTGGGAATGGGGGGGGAACCAAACTGGGAATTGTGGGGTCAGAAACTGGGAATGGGGGGGAACCAAACTGGGAATGGCGGGGTCACAAACTGGGAATTCCAGGGGTCACAAACTGGGAATGGGGGGGTCAGGAACTGGGAATGGCGGGATAACCCAAACTGGGTATTTCCACCGTTGGTGACCAGGAATTGTAGGGTCACAAACTGGGAATGGTGGGGTCAGAAACTGGAATGGGGGGGAACCAAACTGGGAATTCCAGGGTGACAAACTGGGAATTTTCACCATGGGTGACCAGGAATTCTGGGGTCACAAACTGGGAATTCCAGGGGTCACCAACCAGGAATTTTGGGGTCACAAACTGGGAATGGTGGGGTCAGGAACTGGGGATGGTGGGGGAACCAAACTGGGAATGGTGGGGTCAGAAATTGGGAATTCCAGGGGTCACAAACTGGGAATGGTGGGGGAACCAAACTGGGATGATGGGGGAACCAAACTGGGAATGGGGGGGGAACCAAACTGGGAATGGGGGGGTCAGAAACTGGGAATGGAGGGGGAACAAACTGGGAATTCCGGGGGTCACAAACTGGGAATGGTGGGAACCAAACTGGGAATGGCGGGGTCACAAACTGGGAATTTCCACCTTTGGTGACCAGGAATTGTAGGGTCACAAACTGGGAATGGTGGGGGGAACCAACTGGGAATGTGGCGGAACCAAACTGGAAATTCTGGGGTCACAAACTGGGAATTTCCACCATAGGTGACTGGGAATGGCGGGGTCACAAACTGGGAATGGTGGGGTCAGAAACTGGGAATTGTGGGGTCACAAACTGGGAATTTCCACCATTGGTGACCAGGAATTGTGGGGTCATAAACTGGGAATGGTGGGGTCAGAAATTGGGAATGGTGGGGTCAGAAACTGGGAATGGTGGGGGAACCAAACTGGGAATTCCAGGGGTCAGAAACTGGGAATGGTGGGGTCAGAAACTGGGAATGGCAGGGGGAACCAACTGGAATGGTGGGGTCACCACAACGGGAATGGGGGGGACCAACAACCTCAGCCCCAAAGGAACACCCAAAACCCAACACCCAAATCCCATAAAACCACACCCGGATCCCAACAACCTCAACCCCAGGGGAACACCCAAATTCCAACACCCAAATCCCAAACCCTCAAATCCCAAACCCTCAAATCCCAACACCCAAACCCCAAACACCCAAATCCCAAAGGAACCCCCAAATCCGAACACCCAAAATCCAAACCCCAAAGCAACACCCAGATCCCAACACCCAAACACCCAAATCCCAAACACCCAAACCCCAAAGCAACACCCGGATCCAAAATCCCAACACCCAAAACCCAAACTCCCAAATCCCAACAGCCAAATCCCAAACCCCAAAGCAACACCCGGATCCCAAACCCCAAATCCCAACATCCCCAAACCCCAAACCCCCAAATCCCAAAGCAACACCCAAACCCCAACACCCAAACCCCGACACCCAAATCCTAAACACCCAAATCCAAACCCCCAAACACCCAAATCCAAAGCAACACCCGGATCCCAAATACCCAAACCCCCAAATCCCAAATCCCAAACCCCAAATCCCAACACCCAAACCCCAAACACTCAAACCCCCAACACCCAAACACCCAAATCCCAACACACCCAAATCCCAAACCCCCAAATCGCAACACCCAAATCCCAAAGCAACACCCGGATCCCCAAACCCCCAAATCCCAACACCCCCAAACCCCCAAACCCCAAACACCCAAATCCCAACACCCCCAAACCCCAACCCCCAAACCCCAAATCCCAACACCCAAACCCCAAACCCCCAAACCCCAAACCCCAAAGCAACACCCGGATCCCAAACCCCCAACATCCCCAAACCCCAACATCCCCAAACCCCAAACACCCAAATCCCATAAAATCACACCCGGATCCCAAAATGGACACTCAGATTCCAACAACCTCAACCTCAAAAACAACACCCGGATCCCAACACCCAAAACCCAACACACCAAATCCCATAAAATCACACCCAGATCCCAAAGGAACACCCGGATCCCCAAACCCCCAAACACCCAAATCCCAACACCCAAACCCCAAAGGAACACCCGGATCCTAAACCCCCAAATCCCAACACCCCCAAATCCCAACACCCCAACCCCAACACCCAAACACCCAAATCCCCAAATCCCAACACCCAAATCCCAAAGCAACACCTGGATCCGAAATCCCAACACCCAACCCCCAACACCCCCAAATCCCAACCACCCAAATCCCAAACCCCCAAATCCCAAAGCAACACCCCGGATCCCAAACACCCAAATCCCACACCCCCAAACACCCAAACCCCAACACCCCCAAACCCCCAAATCCCAAACCCCCAACACCCCCAAACCCCAACCCCCAAACCCCCAAATCCCCAAACCCCCAAATCCCAAAGCAACACCCAGATCCCCAAACCCCCAAATCCCAAATCCCAACACCCAAATCCCAAACCCCCCAAATCCCAAACACCCAAATCCCAAAGCAACACCCAAACCCCAACACCCCCAAACCCCAAACCCCCAAACACCCAAACCCCAAACCCCAAAGCAACACCTGGATCCCAAACACCAAACCCCCAAATCCCAACACCCAAACCCAAACCCCAAACCCCAAACCCCAAAGCAACACCCGGATCCCAAACCCCCAAACCCCAAACCCCCAAACCCCCAAATCCCAACACCCAAACCCCAAAGCCCCAAATCCCAACACCCAAACCCCAACATCCCCAAATCCCAACACCCCCAACACCCCCAAACCCCAAACCCCGCCCACCACCCCCCATCTCCCCGCCCCGTCCAGCCCTGTTCCCCTCCTCGCCTTGCGCTTGTCCTTCTTGTCGTCCTTCTTGGTGAACACGGTGTGCACCCACCAGATCTTGGTGAACATGCTCCCCGTAGGCCAGGCTGAAGCCCAGCCCCAGCAGCCACAGCCGCGCCTGCCACAACACCCGGACAGGGAGGAACAGTCGGAAACGCGGCCGGGAATGGCGGCGGCCATTGTTGTTTCCTCCCCTTCCCTCCCCTTCCCATTCCGGTTGTTGTTGCTGTCAGTCGTCCACAGATTCTGCCTGGGTTTCTGATTGGTTCTGGTTGTTTCTGATTGGTTCCGGTTGTTTCTGATTGGTTCTGGTTGTTTCTGATTGGTTCCGGTTGTTCCGTTCTGGCTGTTCCTCCTCTGTTTGCTCCGAGCTGTTTCTTTCCCCTTTTTTCACCCCTCGTTCTGATTGGTCCCGACTGTTCCCGACTGTTCCTTCCCTTCCCATCCCGACTGTTCCTGTTTCCGACTGTTCCTCCCCATCCCGACTGTTCCCGACTGTTCCTTCCCTTCCCATCCCGACTGTTCCTCCTCCGATTGTTCCTGATCCCGACTGTTCCTCCCCTTCCCATCCCGACTGTTCCTCCCCTTCCCATCCCGACTGTTCCTCCTCCGATTGTTCCTGTTCCTGACTGTTCCTTCCCTTCCATCCCGACTGTTCCTCCTCCGATTGTTCCCGGACTGTTTCCGACTGTTCCTTCCTGTCCCTCGTGGTGTCTCTGCCTGTTCCCATTCCATTTCCCCCCCATTTCCGCCTGTTCCCAACCCATTTCCCTCCTCTCCGCCTGTTCCTCCATTTTTATTTCTCTGCCTGTTCCCCACCCCCATTTTCAACCCCATTTCCGCCTGTTCCTCCGCCTGTTCCCGCCCCCATTTCCGCCCCTCTCTCTGCCTGTTCCTCCACTTGTTTCTCTGCCTGTTCCCACCTGGTTTTCCTCTTCTCCGCCTGTTCCCATCCCATTTCCCCCCATTTCCGCCTGTTCCTCCGCCTGTTCCTCCCCCCATTTTCCTGTTCCTCCCTCCTCCTGTTCCCCTGCCTGTTCCCATTCCATTTTCAACCCCATTTCCGCCTGTTCCCAACCCATTTCCCTCCTCTCCGCCTGTTCCTGTGCCTGTTCCTCCATTTTTGTTTCTCCGCCTGTTCCTGCCCCATTTTCCTGTTCCTCCACCTGTTCCCACCCCTTTTTCCTGTTCCCATCCCATTTCCCCCCCCATTTCCGCCTGTTCCTCCGCCTGTTCCTTCCATTTCCGCCTGTTCCCACCCCATTTCCCCCCTTTCTCCGCCTGTTCCTCCACTTGTTCCTCCGCCTGTTCCCACCCCATTTTCCTGTTCCTCCTCCACCTGTTCCCATCCCATTTCAACCCATTTCCGCCTGTTCCCGCCCCATTTCCCACCCCTCTCTCCGCCTGTTTCCTGCACTAATTTCTCTGCCTGTTCCCCACCCCATTTTCCTGTTCCTCCTCCTGTTGCTCCGCCTGTTCCCACCCCATTTTCAACCCCATTTCCTCCTGTTGCTCCGCCTGTTCCCGCCCCATTTCCCCCCCCCGTTTCCGCCTGTTCCTCCACTTGTTTCTCCACCTGTTCCCACCCCATTTTCAACCCCATTTCCACCTGTTCCTCTGCCTGTTCCCTCCCATTTCCGCCTGTTCCCGCCCCATTCCCCCCCTGCTCTCTCCGCCTGTTGCTCCACTTGTTTCTCCACCTGTTCCCACCCTGGTTTTCCTCTTCTCCGCCTGTTCCTCTGCCTGTTCCTACACCTGTTCCCACCCTTTTTTCCTGTTCCTCCGCCTGTTCCCCCCCATTTCTCCCCCCATTCCCGCCCGTTCCCACCCCTTTTTCCTGTTCCTCTGCCTGTTCCCACCCCATTCCCCCCCATTTCCGCCTGTTCCCACCCCTTTTCCCTCTGCCTGTTCCCCCCCATTTCCCTCCCATTTCTGCTGTTCCTCCGCCTGTTCCCAGCCCATTTCCTCCTCTACCCCCCATTTCTGCCTGTTCCTTCGCCTGTTCCTCCACTTGTTCCTCCACCTATTCCCACCCCATTTCCCCTTTCTCCGCCTGTTCCCACCCCTTTTTTCCTGTTCCTCCACCTGTTCCCACCCCCATTTTCAACCACATTTCCGCCTGTTCCTCCGCCTGTTCCCTCCCATTTCCGCCTGTTCCCACCCCATTTCCCCCCTTCTCCACCTGTTCCTCCGCTTATTTCTCTACCTGTTCCTACCCCATTTTCCTGTTCCTCCTCCACCTGTTCCTCCACCTGTTCCCACCTCCTTTCCCCCTCTCCGCCTGTTCCTCCGCCTGTTCCCACCCCATTTTCAACCCCATTTCCGCCTGTTCCCACCCCATTTCCCCCCTCCCCCATTTCCGCCTGTTCCCACCCCTTTTTCCTGTTCCTCTGCCTGTTCCTCTGCCTATTCCCATCCCATTTTCAACCCCATTTCCCCCTCCCATTTCTGCCTGTTCCCACCCCTTTTTCTTGTTCCTCCGCCTGTTCCTACCCCATTTCCCACCCCCATTTCCGCCTGTTCCTCCGCCTGTTCCCACCCCATTTCCCACCCCATTTCCGCCTGTTCCTACCCCCATTTTCCTGTCCCTCCGCCTGTTCCCACCCCATTTCCCCCCCATTTCCTCCCCATTTCCGCCTGTTCCCACCCCTTTTTCCTCCGCCTGTTCCCACCCCATTTCCCCCCATTTCCTCCCCATTTCCGCCTGTTCCTCCGCCTATTCCCAGCCCATTTCCGCCTGTTCCTACACCTGTTCCCACCCCATTTCCCCCCCATTTCCTCCCCATTCCCGCCCGTTCCCACCCCATTTTCCCCGTGTTCCTCCGCCTGTTGCTCCGCCTGTTGCTCCGCCTGTCCCCACCTGGCAGACGAGCGGGAACAGCCCTGGCCCGATGTGGTACCCGTCCAGGCCCAGCGGGAAGACGGCGGCGAGGGCCAGGGTACAACCGACGGCCGTCATGTTGTTCAGGTAGGGCTGGGAGTTCTGGATGTACCTGCAACAACCGGAACCGCAAACACCCCCGGGGTACAACCGGAACAGGAAACACCCAGACAAGGAAAGGTTTCGGGGTTTTTTCCCGGTTTTTTTACCATTTTTCATCATTTTTTTCATCTTTTTTTCACTGGTTTTTACTGGTTTTTACAATTTTTCATCATTTTTTTCACGTTTTTCCCAATTTTTCATGATTTTCCCCCTGATTTTTCCCCAGAATTTCCTCCCATTTTCCCCCAATTATCCCAATTTTTTTTACCCGCATTTTTCCCAGAATTTTCCCAGAATTCTTCCCCTTTTTTCCCTGAATTTCCCCCCAATTTTTTCCCAGAATTTTGTTCCCATTTTCACCAATTTTCCCCATTTTTCCCAGAATTTTCCTCCCATTTTTCTCCAATTTTTCCCTGAATTTTCCTCCCATTTTCCCCAGAATTTTCCCCCAATTTTCCCCAGAATTTTCCTCCCATTTTCCCCCAATTTTTTCCCCATTTTTCCCAGAATTTTCCTCCTGTTTTTCTCCAATTTCCCCCCAATTTTCCCCAGAATTTTCCTCCCATTTTTCCCCAGAATTTTTCCCAATTTTTCCCCAATTTTTCCCCAATTTTCCCCCAGTTTTTTTCCCAGAATTTTTCCCATTTTTTTCCCAGAATTTTCCTCCCATTTCCCCCCAATTTTCCCAGAATTTCCCCCCAATTTTTCCCAGAATTTTCCCCAATTTTTCCCAGAATTTTCCTCTCATTTTTCCCCAATTTTCCCCCAATTTTCCCTGAATTTTCCCTGAATTTTTCCCAATTTTTCCCCATTTTTCCCCAGAATTTTCCCCCGATGTTTTCCCAGAATTTTCCTCCTATTTTTCGCCCAATTTCCCCCAATTTTCCCGGAATTTTCCCCAGAATTTTCCTCCCATTTCCCACAGTTTTCCCCCAATTTTTCCCCATTTTTACCAGAATTTTCCCCAGAATTTTCCTCCCATTTTCCCCCAATTTCCCCCAATTTTTTCCCCATTTTTCCCAGAATTTTCCTCCCATTTTTCCCCAATTTTCCCCCAATTTTTCCCAGAATTTTCCTAGACTTCTTCCCCCTTTTTCCCTGAATTTTCCCCCCATTTTTCCCCAAAATTTTCCTCCCATTTTCCCCCAATTTTTTCCCATTTTCCCCAGAATTTTTCCCAATTTTTCCCCCTGATTTTTTTCCCCAATTTCCCCCCATTTTTCCCCTCCCAACCCCCTGGAACTTTTGCGAATTTTGCAGGATTTGGGAATTTTCCCCCCTCAAACCCCTTTAAATCTGGCATTTTTCCCCTCCCAACCCACAAAAACTCAGAATTTTTCCTCTTTAACCCCAAAATTCTCCAAATTTTTTCCCTTCAACCCCAAAATTCTCAAAATTTTTCCCCTTTAACCCCTTCAAACCCTCAATTTTACCCCCTAAAATTCCCATTTTTTATTCCCTTTAACCCCCCAAAACTCCCATTTTTTCCCCCCTCAAACCCTTTAAAAAAATCCCATTTTTTTTCCCCAAACCCCCCAGAACTTCCGGAATTTTTTTAAAAATTTTGGGATTTTTTTGGGAATTTTTTGGGAATTTTTGGGATTTTTTTTTTTTGGGAATTTCCCCACCTGACGTGCCCGTTGTAGATGTTGAAGGCCAAGCAAACCACGGCCAGGACGATTCCGAGTGACGCCAACACCGCCATGGAAATGAACAATTTTTGGGACAGGAAGCGGAAAGTTGTGATCACCTTGGTGTAATCGGCCGGGGGGGACCCCCCTGAGGACAAAATTGGGAAAATTCCACAAAAATTCAGGGATTTGGGAACATCCAGAACAATTTTCTGCATTTTTCCCTTTTTTTTTCTCTTTTTTTGCCCGTTTTTCCCGAGTTTTTCCCTTTTTTTTTTGCCCATTTTTTGCCAATTTTCTCCCTTTTTTCCCCCTCCTGTTTTTCCCTTTTTTCCCTCCAATTTTCCCCCATTTTCCCAATTTTTCCCCATTTTTCCTCCCCATTTTCCCCCATTTCTCCTCCAAATTTCCCCCAATTTTTTTTCACGTTTCCCCCAATTTTTCCCATTTTTTTCCATTTTCCACATTTTTCCCAATTTTTCCTGTTTCCCCTCATTTTCCTTCCCAAATTTTCCCCAGTTTTCCCCATTTCCCCCCAAATTTTCCCCAATTTTTCCCCATTTTCTCTCCCAATTTTCCCCCAAATTTTCCCCCAATTTTCCCCCAATTTTCCCCCCAATTTTCCCCAATTTCCCCCCCATTTTCTCTCCCAATTTTCCCCAAATTTTCCCCAAATTTCCCCCATTTTTCCCCAAATTTCCTCCCACATTTTTCCCCAAATTTCCCCAATTCCCCCCCCAATTTTCCCCATTTTTTCCCCAAATTTCCCCCCAAATTTTCCCCATTTTCCCCCATTTTTCCCCCTTCCCCCCATTTTCCCCCAATTTCCCCCAATTTTCCCCCATTTTTCCCCATTTCCCCCCAGATTTTCCCCCAGATTTTCCCCCAAATTTCCCCCAAATTTCCCCCCAAATTTCCCCCAATTTCCCCCATTTCCCCCAATTTCCCCCATTTTCTCCCCCAATTTTCCCCCCATTTTCCCCCCCCAATTTCCCCCCAAATTTTCCCCATTTTTTCCCCAATTTCCCCCCCAAATTTTCCCCAATTTTCCCTCAATTTCCCCCCAAATTTCCCCCATTTCCCCCCCAAATTTTCCCCCAATTTCCCCCCAATTTCCCCAATTCCCCCATTTTTCCCAAATTCCCGTTTTTTTGCCCCGTTTCCGTGTCTCACCGATCCATTTGTCGTTGTTGTACCAGCTCAGGTTGTCCTTGGTGCTGTCGTAGTACCCGATCTTCTCGTACTCGCCCCCTGCGCCGGGGACACGGGACACAGGTGGGACAGGGGACACAGGGGACATGGACAGGTGACACAGGTGACACAGGGGACACAGGTGGGACATGTGACACAGGTGACACAGGGGACACAGGTGGGACATGGACAGGTGACATTGATAGGTGGGACAGGTGACACAGGTGGGACAGGTGGCAATGGGACAGGTGACATGGACAGGTGACACAGGTGACACAGGTGACACAGGGGACACAGGGGACATGGACAGGGGACACAGGGGACACAGGTGGGACAGGTGGCAATGGGACAGGTGACACAGGGGACAGGTGACACAGGTGACATGGACAGGTGACACAGGTGACACAGGGGACACAGGGGACACAGGGGACACAGGTGACATTGGACAGGTGGCAATGGGACAGGTGACACAGGTGACACAGGGGACACAGGTGACACAGGTGACATTGACAGGTGACACAGGTGGGACAGGTGACACAGGGGACACAGGGGACATGGACAGGTGACAATGGGATAGGTGGCACAGGTGGGACAGGTGACACAGGTGACACAGGTGACATTGATAGGTGGCACAGGTGGCACAGGTGGCACAGGTGGGACAGGTGACACAGGTGACACAGGTGACATTGATAGGTGGCAATGGGACAGGTGACACAGGACAGGTGACAATGGGACAGGTGGCACAGGTGACACCCAGAGAGGTGACATTGGACAGGTGACATTGACAGGTGACACAGGTGACACAGGTGGGACAGGTGGGACAGGTGGGACAGGTGACAATGGGACAGGTGACATTGACAGGTGGCACAGGTGACATTGGACAGGTGGGAATGGGACAGGTGGCAATGGGACACGGGACACAGGTGACACAGGGGACACAGGTGACACAGGTGACAATGGGACAGGTGACACAGGGGACACAGGTGGGACAGGTGACACAGGTGATGCCCAGAGAGGTGACATGGACAGGTGACAGTGGGACAGGTGAGACAGGGGACACAGGGGACACAGGTGACATTGGACAGGTGACATGGACAGGTGACACAGGTGACACAGGTGGGACAGGTGACACAGGGGACACAGGTGACATTGATAGGTGGCAATGGGACAGGTGACACAGGTGACACAGGTGGGACAGGTGGGACAGGTGACACAGGTGACACAGGGGACATGGACAGGTGGCAATGGGACAGGTGGCAATGGGACAGGTGGCAATGGGACAGGTGGGACAGGTGACACAGGACAGGTGACACAGGTGACATGGACAGGTGGCAATGGGACAGGTGGGAGAGGTGGCACAGGTGACATTGGACAGGTGACAATGGGACAAGTGACAATGGGACAGGTGGCAATGGGACAGGTGACACAGGGGACACAGGTGGGACAGGTGGGACAGGTGGGACAGGTGGGACAGGTGACACAGGTGGGACAGGTGACACAGGTGACACAGGTGACACAGGGGACATTGGATAGGTGACATTGGACAGGTGACACAGGTGACATTGATAGGTGACAATGGGACATGGACAGGTGGCAATGGGACAGGTGACACAGGGGACACAGGTGGGACAGGTGACATTGACAATGGGACAGGTGACACAGGTGACACAGGGGACACAGGGGACATGGACAGGTGGGACAGGTGATACAGGGGACACAGGTGGGACAGGTGACACAGGTGACATTGGACAGGTGACATTGGGACAGGTGGCAATGGGACAGGGGACACAGGTGACACAGGTGACACAGGTGACATTGATAGGTGGCAATGGGACAGGTGACACAGGTGACACAGGTGGGACAGGTGACACAGGTGACACAGGTGACATTGGACAGGTGACATTGGGACAGGGGACACAGGGGACACAGGGGACACAGGTGGGACAGGTGACATTGGACAGGTGGCAATGGGACAGGGGACACAGGGGACACAGGGGACATTGATAGGTGACAATGGGACAGGTGACATGGACAGGTGACACAGGGGACACAGGTGACACAGGTGACACAGGTGGGACAGGTGGGACAGGTGGCACAGGTGACACAGGTGACACAGGTGACATTGATAGGTGACAATGGGACAGGTGACACAGGTGACACAGGTGGGACAGGTGACACAGGGGACAGGTGACATTGGACAGGTGACACCCGCAGAGGTGACATTGACAGGTGGGACAGGTGACACCCACAGAGGTGTCACCTGAAGGTCCCTAAATGCCACCAAGGTCCCTCAATGCCACCTGGAGGTCCATAAATGTGACCTGCAGGTCCCTCAGGAGGTCCCTCAGTGCCACCAATGTCCCTCAGTGCCACCAATGTCCTTCAGTGCCACCAATGTCCCTCAGTGTCACCTGCAGGTCCACAGGAGGTCCCCAGGAGGTCCCTCAGTGCCACCTGAAGGTCCCCAGGAGGTCCCTCAGTGCCACCAATGTCCCTCAGTGTCTCCAGGAGGTCCCTCAGTGTCCCCAGGAGGTCCCCAGAAGGTCCCCAGAAGGTCCCCAGGAGGTGCCTCAGTGCCACCAATGTCCCCATGAGGTCCCCATGAGGTCCCCTCGCGCCGCCCCGGCCGCGCCCTCACCTTGGAGCTGCTCGATCAGGGTCCAGGCCATGCGGGAGCCGCTGGCGTCGAACACCACGTGGCCCTGGAGAGGACACGGGGACGTCCCTGGGGCCACCCCAAAACCCACACGGGGCTTCTGGAACCCCCCCCAGATGCCACCTCCACCCAAACGTGGATTTTGGAACCCCCCTTTGATGCCACCTCCACCCAAATCTGAATTTTGGAACCCCCCCTAGATGCCACCACCACCCAAATCCGAATTTTGGGGCCATTTCTGAGGTTCCTCCACCCAAATCCGAATTTTGAAACCCCCCTTTGATACCACCACCACACAAATGTGAATTTTGGGGCCATTTTTGAGGAACCTCCACCCAAACCCGAATTTTGGAACCCTCCTTTGATGCCACCTCCACCCAAACCTGAATTTTGGGGCCATTTTTGAGGTTCCTCCACCCAAATCTGAATTTTGGGACCCCATTTTTGAGGAACCTCCACCCAAATTTGACTTCTGGAACCCTCCTTTGATGCCACCACCACCCAAACCTGAATTTTGGGGCCATTTCTGAGGTTCCTCCACCCAAACCTGAATTTTGGGACCCCATTTCTGAGGTTCCTCCACCCAACCCAAATCTTTGATGCCACCTCCACCCAAATCTGGCTTCTGGAACCCCCCTTTGATGCCACCTCCACCCAAATCTGAATTTTGGAGCCCCATTCCTGAGGTTCCTCCACCCAAAATGAATCTTTGGTGCCACCTCCACCCAAACCTGAATTTTGGAACCCCCCTTTGATGCCACCTCCACCCAAACGTGGATTCTGGGGCCATTTCTGAGGTTCCTCCACCCAAAAATGAATTTTGGAGCCCCATTTTTGAGAAACCTCACCCCAAAATGAAGATTTGGTGTCACCTCCACCCAAACCTGAATTTTGGGACCCCATTCCTGAGGTTCCTCCACCCAAACCTGATTTCTGAAACCCCCCCCAGATGCCACCACCACCCAAAAATGAATTTTGGGACCCCATTTTTGAGGAACCTCCACCCAAATTTGACTTCTGAAACCCCCCCTAGATGCCACCTGCACCCAAACGTGGATTTTGGAGCCCCATTCCTGAGGAACCTCACCCCAAAATGAAGATTTGGTGTCACCTCCACCCAAATCTGAATTTTGGGACCCCATTTCTGAGGTTCCTCCACCCAAAATGAATCTTTGATGCCACCACCACCCAAACGTGAATTTTGGGACCCCATTTCTGAGGAACCTCACCCCAAAATGAAGATTTGATGCCACCACCACCCAAATCTGACTTTTGGAACCCCCCTTTGATGCCACCACCACCCAAATCTGCATTTTGGGACCCCATTTTTGAGGTTCCTCCACCCAAACCTGAATTTTGGAACCCTCCTTTGATGCCACCTCCACACAAATGTGAATTTTGGAGACATTTCTGAGGAACCTCACCCCAAAATGAAGATTTGGTGTCACCTCCACCCAAAAATGAATTTTTGGAGCCCCATTCCTGAGGTTCCTCCACCCAAACCCGAATTTTGGAACCCCCCCTAGATGCCACCACCACCCAAACCTGAATTTTGGGGCCATTTCTGAGGTTCCTCCACCCAAACCCGAATTTTGGGACCCCATTCCTGAAGTTCCTCCACCCAAAATGAATCTTTGATGCCACCACCACCCAAACGTGAATTTTGGGACCCCATTCCTGAGGAACCTCACCCCAAAATGAAGATTTGGTGCCACCCCCACCCACATCTGAATTTTGGAACCCCCCTTTGATGCCACCACCACCCAAAAATGAATTTTGGGACCCCATTTCTGAGGAACCTCCACCCAAATTTGACTTCTGAAACCCCCCCCAGATGCCACCTCCACTCTAAACCTGAATTTTGGGGCCATTTCTGAGGTTCCTCCACCCAAAATGAATCTTTGATGCCACCTCCACCCAAACGTGAATTTTGGGACCCCATTCCTGAGGAACCTCACCCCAAAATGAAGATTTGGTGCCACCACCACCCAAACCTGAATTTTGGGACCCCATTTCTGAGGTTCCTCCACCCAAATCTGACTTTTGGAACCCCCCTTTGATACCCCCCACCACCCAAACCTGAATTTTGAAACCCCCCCCAGATGCCACCACCTCCCAAATCCGAATTTTGGGACCCCATTTTTGAGGAACCTCCACCCAAACCTGACTTCTGGAACCCCTCCCCAGATGCCACCACCACCCAAACGTGGATTTTGGGGCCATTTCTGAGGTTCCTCACCCCAAACGTGAATTTTGGAACCCTCCTTTGATGCCACCACCACCCAAATCTGATTTTTGGAACCCCCCCGTAGATACCCCCACTACCCAAAAATGAATTTTGGGACCCCATTTCTGAGTTTCCTCCACCCAAACCTGACTTCTGGAACCCCCCTCAGATACCCCCACCACCCAGACGTGGATTTTGGGCGCGCACCGAGACGCCCTCGAAGGCCGAGGAGTTGAGGGCGCGGTAGATCTCGTCGGTGATGGTTTTGTTGTTGTAGTTGAACTCGTCCAAGCCCACGCCTTGCTTGGCCAACTCTTGGGCCGTCTTGTTGAGCGCCAGGGCCAAGGCCCAGATGGCGTCGTAGGCCAGCGGCGCCTCCTGGTAGCCGCTGGTCTCCTTGGGGTTGGGGCCCAGCCTCTTCTCCAGCTTGGAGATGAACTCCTGGGACGTCTGGTGGGACAAGGGGACGGGCGGGGTGGAGATGGACGGGGGGTGACACAGGGGTGACCCAATGGGTGGGGTGGAGATGGACCGGGGGTGACACAGGGGTGACCCAATGGGTGGGGTGGAGATCACCCAAGGGTGACCCAATGGTTGGGTTGGAGATGGACCGAGGGTGACCCAAGTTTGGGTTGGAGATGGACCAAGGGTGACACAGGGGTGACCCAATGGTTGGGTTGGAGATGGACCAAGGGTGACACAAGGGTGACCCAAGTTTGGGTTGGAGATGGACCAAGGGTGACACAGGGGTGACCCAATGGGTGGGTTGGAGATGGACCGGGGGTGACCCAAAGTTGGGTTGGAGACCAGCCAAGGTTCACCCAATGGTTGGGTTGGAGATGGACCAAGGGTGACCCAAGGTTGGGTTGGAGATGGACCGAGGGTGACACAAGGGTGACCCAAATTTGGGTTGGAGACCAGCCAAGGTTCACCCAATGGTTGGGTTGGAGATGGACCAAGGGTGACCCAAGGTTGGGTTGGAGATGGACCAAGGGTGACACAGGGGTGACCCAAAGGTTGGGTTGGAGATCACCCAAGGGTGACCCAAGGTTGGGTTGGAGATGGTCCAAGGGTGACCCAAGGTCGACGAAAAGTTTGGGTTGGAGATGGACCGAGGGTGACACAGGGGTGACCCAATGGGTGGGTTGGAGATGGACCGAGGGTGACCCAAGGTTGACCCAAAGTTGGGTTGGAGATGGACCGGGGGTGACCCAACATTGACCCAATGGTTGCGTTGGAGATCACCCA